GGTGCATCTTGGGCCGTCTTGGAGGCATCTTGGGGCCATCTTAGCCGTCTTGGAGGCCATTTTGGCCGTCTTGGGCCCCTCGGGACCTCTTGGGGCCGTCTTGGGGGCCTCTTGGGCCGTCATGGGGCCATCTTGGAGGCCTCGTGGGCGATCTTGGGGGCCTCCTGGGCCGTCTTGATCAGTGGGAAGGCCGAAAAGAAGCGAATGTTAAAATTCTTCAAAAACCGAAGGATAATCAATTATGTTGGCCTCTTCGGGCCCTCCTGAAGGACCTCGTGGAGGCCTCTTGGGCCGTATTGGAGGCCGTCTTAGGCCGTTTGGAGGTCATCTCAGGCCGTCTTGGGTGCATCTTGGGCCGTGCTGGAGGCATCTTGGGGCCTTCTTAGCCGTCTTGGAGGCCATCTTAGCCCTCTTGGAGGCCCCTCGGGCCCTCTTGCGGCCGTCTTGGAGGCCTCTGGGGCCGTCATGGGGCCATCTTGGAGGCCTCGTGGGCGATCTTGGGGCGATCGTGGGGGCCTCTTGGGCCGCCTTGAGCAGTCGGAAGGCCGAAAAGAAGCAAATGCCAAAATCCTTCAACAACCTAAGGAAAGTCAGTTATTTTGGCTTCTTCGGGCCCTCCTGAAGGACATCTTGGAGGCCTCTTGGGCCGTCTTGGAGGCCGTCTTAGGCCATCTGGAGGCCATCTCAGGCCGTCTTAGGTGCATCTTGGGCCGTCTTGGAGGTATCTTGGGGCCATCTTAGCTGTCTTGGATGCCATCTGGGGTTGTCTTGGAGCCGTCCGGAGCAGGAAAAACCTTCTGGAGTCAGGTCTGGGCAATCCTTCCAGGACCCTGGCGGGACGGACCGAAGCCCCAGAGGGAGTTTTTTCCCCACATCCTGAGTGGGGTTCTTGTTTTCCCAGAACACCCTCTCCTTCCCACCCACCTCCCGCTCCATCTTCCTACCACACACACCATACCATACCATAGTTCCTACCACACATACCATACCATACCACACCATACGTACCATACGTACCGTACCATACCATACATGGCGTACCATAGCATACCATACCATATCACTGCCCCTCCCACCCCTGGGAGGCCCCGCTGGGAGGCCCCGCCTGAGCGAGGAGGGTATCGGAGTACCATACTATTCATGGTTCGTGCCCTCCCACCCTCCAGGGGCCCGCCTGAGCGAGGAGGGTATCGGAATACCATACTATTTACATGGTTTCGTGCCCTCCCACCCCTCCAGGGAGGCCCCACCTGAGCGAGGAGGGTATCGGAATACCATACTATTTACATGGTTTCGTGCCCCTGGCCCCGCCAATGGTTTCGTGCCCCTCCCACCCCTCCAGGGAGGCCCCGCCTGAGCGAGGAGGGTATCGGAATACCATACTATTTACATGGTTTCGTGCCCCTCCCACCCCTCCAGGGAGGCCCCGCCTGAGCGAGGAGGGTATCGGAATACCATACTATTTACATGGTTTCGTGCCCCTCCCACCCCTCCAGGGAGGCCCCGCCTGAGCGAGGAGGGTATCGGAATACCATACTATTTACATGGTTTCGTGCCCCTCCCACCCCTCCAGGGAGGCCCCGCCTGAGCGAGGAGGGTATCGGAATACCATACTATTTACATGGTTTCGTGCCCCTCCCACCCCTCCAGGGAGGCCCCGCCTGAGCGAGGAGGGTATCGGAATACCATACTATTACATGGTTTCGTGCCCCTCCCACCCCTCCTGCGTCGCGAGGAGGGCATCAAGAAAATGGGTCCCACGAAACCGTTAATCTCTTTATGTGGGGAACTCCGTTAGCATAATTTTTGTTGGGGGGGGAGAACCCAAACCAAAAACGATCCGCCGCCCCCTCTCGATTCATCGCAGGGGTGCCTGGCGTGCCAAGACCGTCCAAGACGGCCTAGAAGGCCCACAAGAGGCCCGCAAGAGGAGGCCAAAATCATTGATGTTCCTTAGGGAAACGTGCATTTTTAGCATATACGGCTTTTCGGCTTTCACGGGGTTGACGGCGGCCCAAGAGGCCCCCAAGACCGCCCAAAAACTGCCCAAGAGGCTCCCAAGAGGCCCCCAAAACGGCCCCAGAGGGCCCCAAGACGGCCCAAGAGGCGCCCAAGACGGCCCCCGAGGGCCCCAAGACGGCCCCAAGCGGGGCACCACGAACCGAAAAGTCTAGCCTTTCGCCCCACGACGCTCCCAGGAGGCCCCAAGAGCCCCCTAAGAAGCCCCAAGAGGCCCCCAAGAGGCGTCCCAAGAGGCCACCAGGAGGCCAAATTCATGGATTTCCCATGGGAAAAAGGTACATTTATAGCATACACAGCTTTTCTGTTTTCCTGGCGTTGAAGACAGCCCCACAGGCCCCAAAGACCGCCCCAAGACAGCCCAAGAGGCTCCCAAGAGGCCCCCAAAACGGCCCCAGAGGGCCCCAAGACGGCCCAAGAGGCGCCCAAGACGGCCCCAGAGGGCCCCAAAGACGGTCCCAAGAGGGGGACCCCGAACCGAAAAGTCTAGCCTTCCGCCCCAAGAAGCTTCCAGGAGGCCCCAAGAGCCCCCCAAGAAGCCCCCAGAGGCCGCCACATAAAGAGCGATCGGTAACGCAAGAAGCTCTTCACACCAAGGCTCCCAAGAGCGAGCGGTGACGTAAACAAGCTGATAAGACCAAGGCTCCCAGCAGATAGCGGTGACGTAACAAGTTCCTGACACCAAGGCCCAGCCAAGGCTCAGGAACGGGCGGCAACGCAATAATCTCTGAACACCAAGGCTCCCAAGAGCGAGGGGTGACGTCACAAGCTCTCAACGTCAAAGCTCCCAGTACGAACGGTGGCGTGAGTAATGTCGGTGTCTGTTTCTGAAGCGCTCTTTCCTTTTCTGTGCCGGGCCAGGTCTAGTGGCCTTCGGCCCATCCCGCCACCGTGCCTGGGTTGTGGTGCAGAGACTTCTGATGTATTTGATGGGTACCGGCCAAGTATCATTTGAGGCATGCCATTTGTGTGCCTCAAGCGGTACAGGACAAATACCACTTGAGGCATGTTGTCAGTGGGTCTCTTGCGGTACCAGTCTTGTGCCGCTTGAGGCAGCTTGAGGCATGTAACTTGTATGCCTCAGGAGGGACCTCGTGGGAGGTCTCGGAGGCTACTTGGAGGCAGAGTTGAAGCCCTCGGGGGCTGTTTTGAAGCCTCTTGGGGGCGTTGAGGGTCTTCTTGGGCTCTCTTTAGGGCCTCTTGGGGACCTCTTGGAAGCCTCTGGGGCGCATCTTGGGACCTCTTGGGACCTCTGGGGACCCTCTTGGACCTTCGGGGGGCACGGATCTAGAATGTCGGTTCGTGGTCCCCTTCTTGGGCCTCTCTGGGGCCCGTCTTGGGGCCCTCTTGGACCGTGTTGGGCGCCTCTTGGGCCGTCTTGGGGCCCTTTTGGGCCGTCTTGGAGCCCTCTCGGAGGCCCCTTTGGCCGTCTTGGAGCGGTCTTGGAGCATCAAGAGGCGGCAAACACGATAAATACCAAAATCGCTAAAAAACCTAAGGAACAGCAATGAATGTTGCTTCTCGGGGCTCTCTTGGGAGGCCTCTTGTTCGTCCTCTTCGGCCATCTTGGAGGCTTCTTGGGCCATCTTGGGGCCATCTTGCGCGTCCTGGAGCGATCGTTTGGCGACTCGGTGCTCTCTTGGACCGTCTTGGGGGCGTCTTTGGGCTCCCTGGGTCCGTAATGGCGCCCTCTCGGGCCCGAAGAAGTCGCGCGCCACCGCGCAGGGAACCCCAAGGGGCACGCGCTGAGCCCGAGAAGATTCGAGACTTTGGTGCCCCGGCCCCCAAGAGACTCTTTTTTTGTCCCGAGGAAGGGAAAGCCGCAAGTTGGACTGGATAGAAGGCGCTGAGCAGCGCAGCGCATTCTCAGCTCCGAAGCCGGCCGCCGGCCAGGAAAGGTTCGGCCAGGAGATTCCTCGGGAAGGAGGACGGAGGCTCGGGGGACGGGGCCAAAGACCTGAGGACACGCCCCCGCCGTGCCCTGCGGGCCCCAATACTATACACCACCACCACCTCTATTCCCCCTCGCTCCTCCACCCTCCTCTTCCCTCTTCTTCCCTGGGAGAGGGAGGGGATGAGGGAGGTGGTGGTGGCGCATACCTTTGGGCCCCGCGTGCCCAGAGGCACGGTGGCGGCTGCTGCTGCTGCTGCTGCTGCCGCTGCTGCTGCTGCTGCCGCGCACGGCGCGAGAGCGGCCACGCCTCGCCCGCCAGCAGCGCCGCGCGGTCGCCCGCGCGCGGACGCCCGGCGGGCACGGCGGCGGTATCATCGGACGCCGCCGCTGGTGAGTGTCCGCGGGGGGGCGGGGAAGGGGGGGGGAGGGAAAAGGAGGAGGAGGACGACGAGGGGGAGGAGGAGGAGGAGGAGGAGGAGGAGGAGGAGGAGGAGGAGGAGGAGGAGGAGGAGGAGGAGGAGGAGGAGGAGGAGGAGGAGGACCCCCCCCCCACCCCGCCTGGGGGAGGAAAGTCGAGTGGGCGGCACTGGATGCCAAGATGGAAAGTTGTCGAACGGTGTGGAGGTACGCTGGGCCCCCCTCCAGGGACGTCTTGACTCGGCCGAGGCTCCCTGGAGTCCCGTCCTCGGCTCCCTCTTATAGCTGCTGGCGCCGTCATGAGCAAGCGGGCGTGGGGGGGGGGGGATCCGCGCAGCCCCGATGAGGGAGGCTGCGCGGGGCGTGGGGCCTCTCGGCGGCCCTCACACGGGTGATAGGCCTGAAGACGGCCCTCTGCGCGGGATGTCTGTGCTGCTCCTTCTCTGGCACCGCCTGCACCCCGGCCCGCCCGCCTGTGCCTCGTCTTCCCAATTAGAGCTGTGCGTAGCCCGCCTAGCTTTTACCGGAAGAGGTTCGCTCTCGCCCCGCAGACCAAAAAGCACTGCTCCTTCTCCTCTTCCCGCGTGTCGGCGCCTCCGGCGCCGACCCCAGGGAAGCGGCGCGGGCCTCCGAGCGCTTGTGTTGGTGCCGCGCCTCTGCCCGTCGGCAGGCGCTGGCGGAGGCCTGCGGCTCGCTGCGCGAGCGCGGCGAGTCCGCCGGGCACGACCTGGACGCCCTCGTGGAGGCGCGGGACGAGGCGCCGCCGCAGAGGGCACCCGCACTCGGCGGCGAGCCCAGTGGGAGGAAGGCAGAGGGGGGGCAGGGCTTCTCAGAAGCCCTCGCGCCTTATGGGAGACCCTCGATGGCCTCGGAGAGGGCCTAGAGCGCCTCCCCTGAGATCCGACGTTGCAAGAAAACTGCAACATCGCAAAAAATCACGACCGGACCCCTGGACCCCATCTTTCTGCCGGATCGATCCGTGCGGGTCCCAGGGTCCGAGGTGGAGCGAAAACGCCCGGCTCAAAAACATGGAGTCGCCAGGATCCCAGGGTCTCCGCAGGTCGGAGGCCCCCTGTCGAAGAAGAAGAACAACAAAAAGGCATCAACATGAACATCACATGTTTGTGCTCCGCTTGTTTTTTTTTGGATCCGCGCTGGGCCCCCCCCCGGCGGCGCCTCTGGCGCCGCCCCTGGCGCGCTGCGCGCGCCAGGGAGGGGGGTCCCGCGCAGATGCGAGACCTCCGCGCGGAGCGCCAACAGTTTATGTCCACGCCGTCTCCTCTCCTTCTGCCCTGAGCCTTCTGAGGAGGCCGGCCCGCCCCCCGCTGGGCTTCCCCCTGGGCTTGCCGCCGAGGTGCACCGCCGCCGCGCCTGGCCCCGGGGCCACAAGACGGTGGAGGCGTTGCTTCAAGAGTCGTCTCGGGAGGCGCCAGACCCTGGAGGATTCGTTGTCCACTGCGGGCGGCGGTGATATCCATGGCCGATCCGCGATTGGAGTTCCACTGGCTTCCAGACCCCGGATTCCTTGTTGGAGGGTTCCTCGTCCGATGTCCTGGTATCGCTCGGACGTGTGCATTTTGTCGTCGGCGAGGACCCTCGAGGAGCATCCTTGGTCATTTGGCGGAAAAAGCCACGCACGACACCGAAACAAAACTCAGGAGGGAAAACACACACAGACATATTTAATCGTCGTGGGAAAATATGGGAAGTGGGGGGAAGACAAAAACCCACCAAAAGCATTGGAAAATATGGGGAATCGTTTTATTTGTGTCTATTTACTTGTGTGTCCTGGGGCTCCTTTCAAAGCACAGGGCATGGACGCCCGAGCGATGGCCGGAGCTCTCCCCACCGTGGCCGGGGCCCCATATGGGGCGGTGCGCGCCAGGGGCCTCGTGGGGCCTCGTGCGCGCGGGGGCGCAGAGCCTCGTGGCCTCGTCCTCGGGGGCGGGGGGGCCGAGCGCCCGGGCCCCCTCGGAGGGCCCACTGGTCGTTGCAGCGGCGACGCGTCCTGGCGCGCCTGTGGCCCCACCAAACGATGTTCTAAGAACCTCACACCTTACTCGTATGGCGCTCTCAAGCCCGTGCCTTTTCACTACGCGTGTCAAGGATTGCAAAGGATTGCAACAAAAACCCTTCGGTTTTTTTTTGCAATCCTTCGTGTTTGTTTTGCAATCAAACGATGTTCTGAGAACCTCTTGTGGTTCCCACGACATGTTCTTCGGGCATTTCTGGCTAGGAGTCTGTCTTGTTTTTTTATAGCACATCGGGTTTGTGTTCTTAGAACATTGCCTTTGTTATGGGAACATTTTCGGGTTCCAGGAACATTTCGTGGTAGGACTATAGGAATGCCGGGACGGCCGGTCCCTGCTCAACAGGGGTGGGGGCCGAGTGCTCAGACCCCCTCGAGTACCCACCGGTCGTTGAAGGTAGGTGATTTTTGGGATCCCAGGCTCCAACCTGCCTTATAGGCGCCTTCCTGCGTCAATGATCGAGCGGCTTCCCCTCTTCCCTCCGCCTCACGGGGCGGGCGGAGACCCAATCTATTGCCAGTGCCTTCCTGCTTCATGTTTCTACCTGCTTCTTTCGACCGACGGGAGGTGTGTCACAGTTTTCGGCTGGGGCATGAAGAAATCACGACGTCTGGGTATGGGTGGATGGGGTCGGAGGATCGCGCAGCATCACAGCTGCATCGGCGATACGGCTCGATGTCGAGCCCGATTTTCTTCACGCGGACGCCGCCGATGCATCGCCGACGTCGCGGATGCATCGCTGGTGCATCGCCGGTGCATCGGCGATGCGGCGCGATCCTCCGACCCCATCAACTCCAACCCCATCTAGGAGGCCTCTAGTATACGCACCATCTATGCTGGGGCCCTATGGTGGCCGTGGTCAGGCACGGAGGTGGTGCACCCAGACGTCATCCCCGACCCCTTCGAGTCAGGGCGGTTAGGGATAGTTTTCGGGCTCCAGGGGCTCTCGCCGACTCAGGATGAAAAGCTGGTCCTGGGGAATGGGTCGAAACCTTTGAAGGTCGACGGCATGAAGACATCATGACGTCGGGGGTCTGGGTTCCGCCGTGATGCTTTCGCGCCGTGGCTCCCCAGAGCTCTGGACCCCTTCCCCGGGGCCAGCTTCTCATCGTTCACGTCGACGGGGTCCGGCGAGGGCCCCTGGAGACCGAGAGTGTCGGAGAACCTCGCGTCGTGAGTTTGTCCCGACACGAGGGGATCTGCCCTGAGATCCGACGTTGCCCCCAAAATTGCGACGTCGCAAAGCATCACGACTGGACCCCCGGACCCCATCTTTCTGCGCCTGTGAGGGTCCCGGGGCCCGACATGGAGCGAAAACGCCCGGCTCGGACAAAAGCGAGTCACCAGGATCTCAGGGTGGGGACGGGTGCCTCCAGCCTGCGCAGAGGTGCCCAAGCTGGTGGCCTCGACCGCCGTCGGCGCCGCGGGCCCCGGAGAGGGCGCGCTGGGGCCGGAGATGGGGCTGGTGGTAAGGGGGGGGGGGGACCCCCATGGGGAGCGCTGCAGGGCCCTAGAAGGGGGCACTTTATATAGTGCCCCATGTGGGGCCCCTGCAGGCCCTGCAGTGCCCCTCCGGGCCCTCTTCCGGGACGTGCGACGTGCTGATGTTTTCCGCGCGCGGCGTCCCCGGCTGTTTCCCCGGGGCCGGTGTGTGTCACCCTGCGCCGTTGGCTCCCGGCCCCGGGGCCCAGGGAGGGCCTGCAGAGGCCGAAAACGGCGGAGAACCTCCGCACCGCCCGGATTTGTTTCACGACGCGAGCAGATCTGGGTTCTTCACCTCCCATGTTCGGATGCAACTCCATGGGAGGTCAAATTCTGATTGTGCCCTGGTCCGAAACCCGGCCTAATCTGGCTTATTGCTAAAGCCGGCTTATTAATCCTGTTTAATCTGGCCGAATCCCGCTTAATCCGAGGCCCACTCCGGCGCTGCAGCCCCCCAGTGAGGCTTAATCCTCCTCAATCCTTCCGACGAAGACTTTCCAGTAGTTACCTCCCAACACATGTAGGTCGCCCCCAGTTCTAGGCCTCCTGGAGGGGGTCGGAGTAGATGGGGTCGGAGGATCGCGCCGCATCGCCGATGCATCGGCGATGCATCAGCGATGCGGCTCGATGCGGGGCCCACTTTTCCCACGCCGACGTCGCCGATGCACCGCCGACGTCGCCAGTGCATGGCCGATGCCTCGCCGATGCATCGGCGATGCATTGCCGAAGTATCGGCGATGCGGCGAGATCCTCCGACCCCATCTACTCGGACCCCATCGAGCCAGACCCCCGACGTCTTGAATTTCTCATGACGTCGACCCCCAGAGTTCTGGACCCATTGCCCGGGACCGCTTTTTCGTCCGGAGCCGTTTGTTGACGGTCCCGAGGCCCCGCAGGGCCCCCCCCGAGGCCGAAATTATAGAAGAACTTCCCGTCGTGATGTTGTTCCGGACTCGAGAGTCTGGGGTGCACGGTTTCCCCTGGGGCTGTAGGCGACCCGAGGAGGAGGAGGAAGAGGAGGAGGAGGAGGAGGAGGAGAAGGAGGAGGAGGAGGAGGCGGAGGAGGAGGAGGGGGGGGGAGGAGATGGAAGAGGTGGAGGAGAAGGAGGAGGAGGAGGACGAGACAAAGGAGGAGGAGGACGAGGAGTAGGAGGAGGAGGAGGAGGAGGAGGAAAAGGAGGAGGAGGAGATGACAAAAGAGCTGGGGCGCGAGGAGAGAGGAGGAGGAGGAGGAGGAGGAGGAGGAGGAGGAGGAGGGGGAGGGAGGAGGGGGAGGAGGAGATGGAAGAGGTGGAGGAGGAGGAGGAGGAGGAGGACGAGAAAAAGGAGGAGGAAAAGGAGAGGAGGAGGAGGAGGAGGAGGAGATGACGAAAGAGTTGCGGCGCTAGGGGCCACCACAGCGCCTCTACCGGTGCCGCCCGCCCGAGGAGACCGCGGCGTTGGACGGCGCGGGCGCCAGCACGCGGCGCCTTCTGGACGTCCTCTCCGCCGGGCTGCGCGCGCTCGAGGCCGAGGCCCGGCGGCGCGCCGGGGGGGCCTGGGGCTCGCCGGGGGCCTTCTGGCTTGCAGGTCCAGGCGCTGCAGTCGCCCCTGGCGCCGCAGCTCTTTCGTCATCTCCTCCTCCTCCTCCTCCTCCTCCTTTTCCTCCTTTCTCCCTCACCTCCCCCCCTTCTTCCTCTCTCCTCTCCTCCTCCTCCTCCTCCTCCTTCTCCTCCTCCTTTTCCTCTTCTCTCCTCCTCCTCCTTTTCCCTCCTCCTCCTCCTCCTCCTCCTCCTCCTCTTCCCCCTTCTCCTCCTCCAACTCCTACTCCTCCTCCTCCGCCTCCTCCTCCTCCTCTTTCTCCTCCGCCTGCTCCGCCTCCCCCTCCTCCCAGGGCTCCCGAGGCTTTGGTTCGTAGATGCAGGCGCTGTGTTGTCTTTGGCGTCGCAACTCCCCAGATCCCCTCGAGTCATGAAAACGTCACGACGGGAGGTTCTTCGCTATTTTCGGCCTCTGGGGGCCCCTGCCGGGCTTCGGGACCGTCAAAAAACGATTCAGGACGAAACACTGGTCCCGGGGAATGGGTCCAGACTTTTTGGGGTCGCCGTAATGAAACAATCATGACGTCGGGGGTATGGGTCTTTCGCCATCGAGAGCAGGCAAAATAATCCTTAACCCTGATAACATTATTCGTGAAGGCGTGGCCTCGCTGAGGTTCCCTTCTTTGCATCTTAGGGATGATAAGTCAGGGCGGTTTGGTTTGATGCGTCTGCAGAAACGAGCCCACATCCTTAATGTTCTCGGCCCTCTTAACTTAGGTCCCCTCCCAAAGGGTTAGGGGTCCTTTATTGATCAATCAGTTCGCAGCGGGCGATCTTGCCTTGTTTCGGGCCCCCGGACCCGCACCGATCGATCCGGCTCGGAACATGTCGCAGAAAGACAGGGTCCCAGGGGCTCTGGCCGAGTTTGGTCACGATGTTGCAGTGATTACCTGACGTCGGATCTCAGGGTAATCTTCTGCGTCAGGAGGCTGTTTGGGGGCTTGAGTCGGGGAAACGTAAGACTCGAGTGCGCCAGAACTCGGGTTGCCGACGCTTCTTGACGAGCGCGTCTTGGATGTTTGACGATTTAGTGTTTGCGGGATGTTTGTAGTGGGAATCTGCGTTAAATTTTAGATTGGGTCTCGTCATTTTCATGATGGCCCCGTCAGGCCAAGCCGAGTCCCCCGAACCCGAGTCCTACGTCTCGGATGCAACTCCTGGGAGGTCAAATTCAGACTTTGCCCTGGTCCGAAATCCGGCTCAATCCTGTTGAATCTTGCTTTATCCAGCTTGATCCCGCTTCATCCCGCAGAATCTGGTTTAATCCCGCTTAATCCGAGGCCCACTCCGGCGTAACAGCCCCCCAATGGGGTTTAATCCTTCTTGATCCTTCTGGCGAAGACCTCCCAGTAGTTGCCTCCTAACTACGTCTCCCCAATTGAGACGGATAGGTTTATGATGGTCCAACTTGCTTCAGCTTCGCCCCGCAGAAAGAATTTCGAGCACCAAGAGGGCATCGCGACTGGAGGGTTTTCGCGCGGCGGGCCCCTGGGTTGCGATGCTCGTTCCACACTTCGCCGGCGTGTCGGGCAGGAGGAGGAGGAGGAGGAGGAGGAGGAGGAGGAGGAGGAGCAGGAGGAGGAAGAGGAGGAGGAGGAGGAGGGAGGGTCGTCGTAGAAGGCAGCCACCCTCGTCCCTCCCGTGCGTCCAAGGTCTTGTCAAGGCCAAGCCCTGGTGGTCTATGCTGGCTTGTCTTTCGAGCCGCGTCTAGCCGTGGCGACGAGGTGGGGCCTCCTATACGGCCAACCCCGAGATCCTGGCGACTCAATTTTTGTTGAGCCGGACGTTTTCGCTCAATTTCTGGCTCCCAGACTCTCACATATCGATCCAGCTCGAAAAATGACGCAGAAAGATGGGGTCCGGGGGTCCGGTCGCGATCTTTTGCGATGTTGCAGTGTTTACGCATCGTCGGATCTCACGGAAGATCAAAGACCGGGATGGGGGGGCAATTTTTCCTTACAGACCTCCAACGTACTGATTCGTCCATTGCGCGGGCCCCTAAGCCTTCGATTCCTTCCAATGAGCGTTTTGTTCCCACACTTGATGGCCCCGGATCCTGGAAGCTACTCCTGGAGGCCGAAATCGTGGAAGTACATGTGTCATGTGCAGTGCTGTTCCCCACCCCCAGAACGTTTTTCTCAACCAACCTGTTGTTGGGTCCTCGTTTTGAAGAGACGGTCCCCGCGTTCCTCTCCTCTCCTCCTGTTCCCCCCGTCCCTCTTCCCGTCACTCCCCTCACTTCGGTACACCCCTCACACGTTCCGTGACCCCCATAGGAGCTCGATCGAGGGTCCCCGTGGCGCAGCCCGCACTCGTCCCCGTCGCCCATTTGGGCACACCCCTCACACACTTCGTGGCCCCAGAGGCGCTCAACCGAGGGTCCCGTCGGCGCAACCCGCATGCGTCCCGCCACCCATGTCGGCACACCCCTCACACGCTTCGTGGCCCCATAGGGCGCTCCACCGAAGGTCCCAGTGGCGCAGCCCGCGCACGTCCCCGCCATCTATGTCGGCAAACCCTTACACGTTTCGTGCTCCCGTAGGGAGCTCCAGAAGGTTCCAGTGGCGCAGCCCGCATGCGTCCCCGCCACCCATGTCGGCAAACCCTTACACGTTTCGTGACCCCAGAGGGAGCTCCACCGAAGGTCCCAGTGGTGCAGCCCGCAAGCGTCCCCGCCACCCATTTTGGTACACCCCTCGCACGTTTCGTGGCCCCATAGGAGCTTCCCCGACGGTCCCAGTGGCGCAGCCTGCACGCGTCCCTCCCCGCCATCCATTTCGGCACAGCTCTCACACGTTTCGTGGCCCCAGAGGAGCTCCACCGAAGATCTCAGTTGCGCAGCCCGCACGCGTCCCCGCCACCCACTTTGACACACCCCTCACACGCTTCTGGCCCCATAGGGAGCTCCACCGAAGGTCCCAGTGGCGCAGCCCGCATGCGTCCCCCACACGCATGTCGGCACACCCGTTACACGTTTCGTGGCCCCATAGGGAGCTCCACCGAAGACGATAACTTATTCACAACTGCATTATTCACAACTGCATATGGTTGGGTCCTTCGCCAGGCTAATTTCAGTTTGGGACCTGCGTCAAACGTCGACTCCTGGACCCGTCCCAGGTCTGTTCTGTCATGGGTACCGGGAGAGAGGAACCCAGCCGTGACGGCGAGACGCCTCCCAGAGGCGCAAGAACGCCCATGAGCCACGATCCTCGAGTGTGCTGCCAGAAGCGCTCGGCCAAAGAGAACGATCGCCGCATCTGTTTTGCATCGCGACCCGACCGAGATTTCGAGGCTCGATCATCGGCCCAGGAAACACGATCGTCGACCCATCAGGGGCAGCGTGAGGGGGGGGGGATAGACTCAGGGGGGCAACGTATCGACCCCGAATGGCTCACTCATCGCAGGTAGGGGCCCGATAGCCCCACCCCGCCTGGTATCGTGCGGATTTGCTATCGGGGGCCTGCCGTCGATCTCTCGGCGATGTACCTCCGATGTCAGCTCGGTGCTTCCCTCCCGCCCACAGCGAGCCTCCCCCTAACGTCCACCCCCGCTCGATGCTCGATCCAGGAACCACGACTCTCGACCCAGAACTTCCATAAAACCCCGATCTTCGATCCTCGTATCGGGATCCTCGGCCTCCGAGATGGGGTCCGGGCAAGTGGGAACGGAGGATGAGGCCAGATCGCCGATGCATCGGCCATGCGGCTGGATGTGGAGCCCGATTCCCTCCAAGCCGACGTCGCCGATGCATCGCCGACGTCGCCGATGCATCCTCGATGTATCGCTGCTGCATCTGCGATGCTGCGCGGTCCTCCGACCCCATCTACTTGGACCCCATCTAGGAGGCTTCTAGTAACCCGGGGGAGGAGGAGGAGGAGGAGGAGGAGGAGGAGGAGGAGGGGAGGTGGAGGATGAGGATGAGGAGGAGGAGGAGGAGGAGGAGGAGGGAGGGAGGAGGAGGTGGAGGGAGGAGGAGGAGGATGGAGGAGGAGAGGAGGAGGAGGAGGAGGAGGTGGAGGAGAGGGGAGGGGAGGAGGATGGGAGGAGAGGAGGAGAAGGAGGTGGAGGAGGAGAGGAGGAGGAGGAGGAGGAGGAGGAGGAGGAGGAGGAGGAGGAGGAGGAGGAGGAGGAGGAGAGATGAGGAGGAGGAGGATTAGGAGGAGGAGGAGGAGGAGGAGGAGGAGGAGGAGGAGGAGGAGGAGGAGGGGGAGGGAGGACCGCGGCAGACGAAGTGCCTCGACCCGAGCCTCGAAGCGCCGGCCCTCGAGCTCCGAGGAGCCGCGGCCCCCGAGTCCCCGAGCCCCGACGTGGCCGTCTGGGGGCCACGGGTCCCGAGGGGAGCGGCTCCTGGACCGGTTCTTGCGGCAGCCGTCGGCACGAGCGGGATGGGTACGGGAAGAATCAAACGACGCGAAGATCGGGACAAAATCGGATCGGGATAACTCGAAATCTCTGAGAATCGGCGGGTTTGGAGGATGTATTGGGCGCCGCGGCCGCTCCAGAGGTTCCGGAACGCTCTGAGAGCGCTCCGGAACGCTCTGGAGCGATTTATCCCGATCCTAGCCCTGTTTTAAAGAAGGGGTGCGATACTCAACAGCAGCAGTTCCTGTTCCTTTTGAGCAGGACTCGCTGTCCGCGCCGCCGCCGCATTGTACCCATTTTTTGTCCGTACCCATGTCGGGCGTCCCAAACAGCTCTGTGCCGTGACCGCGCGGGCGCTGGTGTCTGGCACCGAGCGGGACCGTTCTGCCTTGAACGATGTCACGGCTTCCCGACAACGATGGCGCAGGGCGTTCTCAGCATCGGGGAAGCGGGTCCCGAGGGATACAGGTCCTGGACCCTGGGGCTTTCCCCAAGGACCAGCTCTTCAGAAACGGCGAAGAACATCGGAACCCATTTCCCTCAGAACCCGCAGATCGTTCGAACTCGCACCCCTGGCGAATCTTGCAGATCGTTCGATCTCCGCCGATTCTGGGCCACCTGCCGCATTCCGCCCTGCTCGCCCGCGCCGGGGTCGCCGCCGCGCCCACGCGGCATGAGCCCACCGCGGAGAGGCCGCCCCCATCCCCCGCCCCTCCCCAGGCAGCCGACCCCTCCCCCAGGGGCAGCCTCTCATCCCCTATGCGTTTCAATCGGATGAGGATGGGGGAGAGGGCGAAGAAGACCCGTGGAGACCCAAGATGCATCAACGATGTTAGAACCTGCCCTCCCTCCAAGCTCCCTCTTCATAGGCCCCTACAAGGGCTCACTTCCACTGAGGGAACTGCCTCGTTGGGAGAAAGCCATTTGAAGACCCTCAAGCGTGCCAGAACAGCATTCTTGTGACTCCAGCACCACGAATCAACATGACTGTTGCATCACGACGATCCTCAACCCTGCCAAAACACCACTCCTGGGACTTCAGCACCGCGAGTCAACGTAACTGACGCGCCCTCACAATCCTGAGCCCGTCCAAAACATCATGTCTGGCACGTTGATCATGGGAATTCGCGAGTGTGCGCGACACTCTGGCGAGAGCCACATTTCGAAAATGAACTGCCCTCAATCCGTGAAGCTCTTGCGGATGTTTCAGACGATTGTGCGCGGCGCTAAGGCGGAAGCCACAGTTTGAAAACGGCCCGCCTTCAACCCGTGAAACTCTTGCAATTCAAACGAATGTGCGCGGCGTTCAGGCGAGAGACACATTTTGAAAACCACCCGCCCTCAATATGTGAAGCGCTTGCAAATGTTAAAAACGAATGGACACGGCGCTAAGGCGAGAACCATATTTTGAAAACCACCCGCTTTCCGTCTGTGAAGCTGTTGCCAGCTTCTAAGCTTCAAGGGCATAAGTGGTGATGAAGACTCATGCGCCCGGCCCGCCCTTTCGACCGGCCTCGAGGTGCGACAGGAGTCCTTCGGAGTTCTGGACCCAGAACAGAAAAATATCCTTCAGTAACATGATTCCCTGCAGGGCGCCAAGCCGAGGACAATTCGAGGGTACCTCCGTCAGGATGCACAAGAACACCCAACGCACAAGAGCACCCAACAAGCACGAAGAACATCTTGGTACCCTCCCCGCACCGACCTCGATCTTATACCTCGGTCCGGCCGTATCCGTCTCCAGCCAAAAAACAGAACACGGGATACAGTCGACCCGAATGGTACGGATGGGCAGCCTTCCCAAGGATACCCTTGCATCCTTCCCTCCTCGGTCCATCCTTGACCACTTCCCTTGGCCGCGCCCCGCTCGAAAAGCTTCGAGATTGCCTTCCAAGGCCCGTGCATCCTCATCGCGCATGCTTGTGATACGGGCTGCTTGCATGTCGACCCGTACCCTATAGGCTCCGTGGGGATTCCCCCGCGCACGTCGGGGCGCGCGCGCGCGCGCCGCCGGAAGGCCGACGGGCTCCTCAGGTACCTCGACGCCTCGGGGCTGCTCCGCAGCCGGGTCGCCTTGGGCCACGCCGGCGGGCGCGCCCAGGCGCCCGGTATCAGTCGACGACGACGGCGGCGACGGCGACGTCGACGACGTCGACGACGACGACGACGACGACGGCGGCGACGACGGCGACGTCGACGACGACGACGACGACGACGACGGCGGCGACAGCGACGGCGACAACGGCGACGGCCACAACCACGACGACGACGACGACGGTCACAACCACGACGACGACGACGGCGAAGACCACGGCGACGACGACGACGACGACGACGGCGGCGGCGACAACGACTACGGGTGGGCAGTTCGCGATCGATTCAAAGAAGAGAAACTGTACCGATGCCGTTATTCTTCGCTCGTTTTTTCACATTCGGCCTTCTGAGGGGTCCTCCTCGCCACCGCTGGATTCGCTTCAGCATATTTTTGGTTTCCCCACGATTTGCGACGGGTGGGCAGTTCGGGGTCGACGTCGGCGGTGACGACGACGCGACGCGAAGGCCCAATCGACGACGACGACGATGACGACGACGACGATGAGGACGACGACGAGGACGACGACGACGACGAGCACGACGAAGACGACGACGGCGACGACCATGACCACGACGACGACGACGACGACGACGATCACGACCACGACCACGACCACGACGGCGACCACGACGACAACGACAACAACGGCGACCACGACGACGACCACGACGACGACCGCGACGAAGACCAAGACACCGACGACGACGACGACGACGACGACGAAGGCGGCGGCGACGACCGACGATGACGACGACCACGACCACGACCACGACCACGACGTCAACGACGGCAAGGTGGCCTTCAGTTGTTCGGCCACCTCCTTGGCTAATGAAGTTCATGAACAGACCCTCCTTTTTTTTCTGGGGGGCTTATTTTGATGCCAGCTCCTCGAAGAGGCTTCTATTAGCAGTGCGTTCTGCAGGCGCACCGCTCTGCCATGGCCGTCATGCGAGCTGACGCGCCCGCTGGCAAGCCACCAACTTGAGTGGATTGTCAGATACAGTGCCGTTTTTTAATACATGCTCCGCGTGCGGATCGTGTATTAAAAATGCAGGGATTTAGCATATATCAAAAACAACGATGAGTTCATGCATACATTTATTCATACATTGATCATGTATTAAAAATCCGAAGTAGTTTTTTTTACAAAAAAACTATGTATTAAAACCTGCCCGGTAGTCTGGGCAGAGAGCGCCGTTCCTGAGTTTGGGGGCCTCCAGCGCCGCGGATACGTCGGGACGGCTTGGCCTTCGCCGACCTTGGCGCCCAGAGGCTCCGCTTCGCCCCCCAAGGCCGTCAACAAGAACTGTCGAGGATCAGTGACGCTCTGTCGAGCCATTCCTCCCCAAGAACGCGAGGCAGGATACCCAGGGAGCATCGGCACATTTTGGTCGCGGCATGCAGAAGGTGCAAGGCGGGTCGGGACCGTTTCGTAAAATCTACCAATCCCAACCTGTCGGGTGCATAAAAGCGCATCCCCAGGAAAGGGTCGGTCCAGGGCCCATGTAGTACAAAAACATTCCAAGCACCTCAGGAGGTCTGTGGAGGTCTCCAGAGATCTCAGCAACGGTTTCTGCAGGTCCCCAAAGGCTTCTGGGCACCCCCCCGGAGTTGAGCGCAGACAAACATATATTCTCTCCCCTCCGCCCCCCGGGCTACAATTTCGAGGGAAATGCAGCTAGCCCGTGGAGGCCCCAAATGCAAATAACAAAAAGCATGTTTAACCTTCAATCTCAGAACATCGAAACCCGAACTTCGGCCCTCCTCCCAAGTCCATTCAAACTCAGTCCCTTGACCCTTTCCAGGGCTCATCCGGTCTGGCTTTCCCAGCCGCGTCCAGCCATGGCGATGGAAGCCTACAGAAATGAACGCAAACATGAGAAGAGACGACGTCGTCGACGACGGCATCGTCGACGACGCAAATTCGGAGGACTGGGGGTCTTGGGGTCTTTAGGGGCAGGTTATAGGCCCCTGGAGGCCGAGTAATTAACCCCAAAAGACGATGTCCGATCCTCGAGCCGCGATCTGCGAAACCCTGAGGCAGTGCGCCACATGGCGACCGCGCGCCAAATCCATGGGTCGCGAATCCATGTCTGTGCGCCCCCGAAGTTCTGACAGCGCCGCGCCCCGCGGAGGACCCCGAGAGGGCCCCACAGCACGGCGACAAGCACACCGCAGGGTACCCACAGAGATCCGACCTATAGTGCTTCTTGCAGCGCGGGGCCCCCTGAAGCCTCGATCCGCTCCCCAGCGCGGGCTCTCCCTCCCGAGCCGTCTCCTGACGGTCCCCGGGGCCCAGCCAGGGCCTCCATGTCGTGGAGGGGCCGCACGCGGCGACAAGCAGGCCCCCGCTGGACTTCTCCCACGCGCTCGATCTCGGGTGATGGGCCTGTTTTCCACCACCACCACCACCACCATA